AGTAGAATTAACTTTGTAATATGATCCTACAGAGAAATGACTTCGAACATTGCCTGCCATGTATTAAAGGCTTAATAAATGGAAGGTACCATCATTATGTCACTAAACAGCACCCCGAGCAGAAGTTTGGGAAGGATTCCTTTGTGCCTTATTAATTGCAAAACATACAGCTCTCGACTGAACTCCCCCTTTCTGTATGCCTAACCGTGATCCCGGAGCTGTTTGTGTTTATCTTCTACACAGAGTGGGGCCACATCCCCCGCCGGGCAGCCTGGCTCAGAGCTGACAGGCCAGGAAATCTCAGACCCTTCAGAACCCTCATTTCCACTCCTTCCTGCACTGTCACCAATTCATCGAAAGCTCTGAGTGCTTATCTCACGATTGCCAGATGTCCATCTGTTTGGGATTGTCTTGAATTTTACTGCCTTGTCCTGTTTACAAACCACACAGGGCACACAATGGCCCCGTGTCAGTCTGAGACCACATAGGAGACGGGTCTCCACGCCAGCACACCAGGATCTAGTGGGTCTCTCGTCCGGCTCCTACTGTTGACCCGCTCGCTACCATGCAGGCTTAATGTAGCACAAGAGCCAAAAGAGTGTCAGGGTTGATGTTGAAGATTTGGATTTTTATCCTGACTCTGCCACTTACGATCTCTGAGCCTCAGCGTCTTCATCTGCAAAATGGGGCTATAACACCAACCCCACTGTGCAGCTGTGGCAACTGACCGAGAGAGCCTTTGAAAAGTGTTCTGCTGGATAATAAAAGCAACTTTCCTCCCATCCTTCCAGGGTTAGATGCCTTCTCTTTTCCGGCTTTGTGCTGTGCTAAGTGTGCAATGCCTCACACAACGTGAATTTCCCACTAGAGCATATGTTTATAAAGGCAGGGATTTGTCTCTTTTATTTATTGGTCTATCCCCAAGTTTTAGAACAGTGCCTAGGGCTAGTGGATATTCAATTAGTACATGTTGAGCAAATTAATTAAAATGAATTATATAGTCATGTTTTCTGCTGTCTCCTTTAGGAGACTTTCAGCTCTGAGTAGCAGAAAACCCTGACTCAACCTGCTAAACCAGTGAGGACATCTATTATTTCATACAACTAGAAGTTAGAAAGTAGAGAGGTTCAGTGTTTGGTTAATTTGATGGCTCACTAACATCATGCCTGGCCCAGCTCCTTCTCATCTTTCTGTTCTGTCGTTTTCAGGCTAGCTGATCTCATAGTCATAAATGGCTGCTACCATTCCAGGTACCTTATCTGGACACAGTAACATCCAATGGAAATGGAGAGAGCCTCTCTCTTCCTTGGATATCCTTTCATCCAGAAGCCCAGAAACCCTTCAGCTGGCATTTGCTCACTTACACACCTAAGCCAGTCACTGGCTTGGGTCAGTTAGGATTAATCCTGAGTTATGTGTGGGAGGGGTAGAGATCTGAATGGATTCTGGCCTTTGCCGAAAAGGAAGAACAGAGGGCAGCCAACTGTGTTTATCCAAAGACCAAGGATATACTTGGTCTTTGGAGGCTTAGGGGGAAAAAAAAAGAATGATTAAGCAAAAATTAATTAAACAAGTGCACAAACAAGTGTTTATGCTATATGCAAATTAAGGTCTGGGATAATAAGTGAAGAGAGAATTGCATTTTGAGAGTTAGAGGAACGTACCCTACCCAGCTTCTTGATTCAAGTACAAATATGTTTAGGGTTGCCAACTGGTTTATGTCAAAGGGGGTGCTTAAATACAAGATGAAGTAGAGTAAGATATATTTTGCAGTGTTGCAATGTCCCATGGATTAAGTTAGAGAATGGGACCCACTCGTCCTGCTGCGGTATAATCTCACTAATGCATCCTCAGTGAATTCGAAGCATGCACTAATTCACTTGGCCAGGCTAGCTAGTATTCACTCTGGTATTTTCAAGGGAGAAATGGTTTGCAAAGGAAATGAATAGTCCAAGTAGGAGTTTAGGGAATGTGTTAAATTATTCTTAATATTCTGGCATATGAAACCTTGTATGCAAATAATATTTATTGGTTTATTTAAGCAGGTCTCTGGAACCTATACTTGACACATTTAATGGCTTGTGGTTGAGGGTACTATATGCATTTGGAATTAACCAAACCAGTACATTCTAAGATACTTTGTAATGCAAATTCTCTTAATTTGGCCATTGCCCACCCTGCAGTTAGGTTGGATTTGTGGGTTTTTCTTGTGTCTTCAAACCTCAGGTACTTAGTGGTAATTAGACTATAGGAAGCCAGCTCTGGCTTCTGGTGCTGCTCTTGTGAAAGTTGCTTAGGGTCAGCTGTAGGTCCACATTTGGTGGAAGCTGTTTAGGGCACAGAAGCCAAGTGTAAAAGACTGGGCAACCAGACCACCCCTGTGGTGCCAGTTTGGCTACTTATCTGTGTGTCCACAGGTGAATTATACTATCTCTCCATGTCTTGGTTTCCCCATCTGTAAAATGGGAATAATAGTAGTACCTATCTTACAGTGTTGTGGTGATGAATACGTGAATTAGTATATAAAGTTCTTATAACGGTGCTTGGTTTACAAAAAGTATTATAAAAATGTTTTCTATTAATTATCATATTTGACTATATGAATTCAATATGAATAGATCAGTTCATATCTATTGTGATTTAAAGAACAACGTTTGACCAATTACAAGTCACTTTCTTTCTAGGTCCCTTGAAATGCAACCTTTTTCTCAGTGCATGTGCAAATTTTGTCCAGCATGTCTCAGGGCAGTCATATTATAGCTGGATGACATTGGCTGCAACAGAGTTTAATAAAATTAACTACTCAGTTACTTCCCAAGCAGTTTGCAATGATTTTATTGCAATGTATTGTGATGGACATTCTCACTTCTGCCGCCCATTGAGTTAAACATAGTAAACATTGAATATGCACTTCCAGCACTGAACTAAGATAAAAATGACTGTTTAGGCTTGAACCAAGTTGATTTACTTTTGTCATCTGCTTAGAAATTATCATTAGTTTGCCAGAGAACCAGAAAGAAAATTGAATAACAACCTATTTTAAAGTAAAATTCTTCTACATGAATTATCCTGATACGATTTAGGATGTGTCTGAATTTGCCAATGAATTGAGTGATCCTCTGTTTGTCTTCATGGATCTGGGACTTTAATACTCTGCTAAGGCTGTTGGTCTAATGTGGGCATGTAAGTCATATGTTATTATCCATATAGTTCTGAGTGGCCTGAAGCTTATGGGTATTAGAGAGATGCTTTGTATCCCATATTCAAGCTGGGAGTAAAGGGAAAGCAATTGACTTCTTGTCAATTTCTGGAATTCTTTCTGCCCATCCATACAGCAAAGCATTGTCTCATCTCAGGTTCTAGCTTAGTCTGTAAGGGGAAATCAGACATACACAGAACACCATTTATGGCGTTCCCACATGGAACTTTTTAAGAAAAGCCAAGAGCTTAAGGCCTTAGGAAGATACTAACGTGGAGGTTCATCTCTAGCTCCACATGACTCTCTGGATGTCTATGAATCAGTCCTTTCATTGACCCTTTCCAGGGTGAATTTGAAAGCAGAATCTCCTCAAAGTTCTTCCCCCAAATTATAGTGCCCCCAGATTCTGATTCAACATTCCTATCTGTTATAGACCTTCCATGTTTTCCTATGGTACTTATCACAAAATTAGTTGTCCTTTGTATTTCTTTCCCTGAATGTTTGCAGGAATGAGTCAGAGCTTTCTTGTAATATGTGAGCAGCCCAGAGGAAAATGCGGTTATTTTAAGAGCTAGCCAGGAATTCCTTTCAGGGAGGAGACTGTCTACCACCATAATGGGAGCATTTGGCTAAGAAGATAAGGCCTCCAGAGATAGCCTCAACAGTCTGGAGCTAGAGGAGGAGAGAGCAAATTGCTCTGTGAAAGAAGTTTACAGGAATTGTGAATGTGGGAGAGCAGAGGAGAAGGAAGAGGGGAGAGAGACTAAGTAAGGGAGAAAGCAAGATGGTGGCATGCGATGGACCTGATGATAGACTTTTTTTTTTTTTTTAAGATTTTATTTATTTATTTGAGAGAGAGAGAATGAGAGAGAGCACATGAGAGGGGGGAGGGTCCGAGGGAGAAGCAGACTCCCCGCCGAGCAGGGAGCCCGATGCGGGACTCGATCCAGGGACTCCAGGATCATGACCTGAGCCGAAGGCAGTCGCTTAACCAACTGAGCCACCCAGGCGCCCCTGATGATAGACTTTTAAGGACATAAAGAGTCCATGAATACTGTCTTTGTGTGGTGTTTTGGCAGAAATCAAGTAAAAGGGGTTACCTTCAAAATCTCGGTTAGCATGGGGCAGCCATAGGATGTGAGAGTCAGTGAGGTCAAGAATCCAGCCCAGAGAAGTCACTGGAGAGAGAAGTGACTATGAAAATAGAAATTCTCCAGAATTCTCAGAAATCTAGGGGAGAGCATCAGACTTCTCACAGGATGTGGGGTGAACACTTGAGCCAGTTTTTTATTTAAATCTCAAAGGAGGTAGTGACCTCAGCTGAAAGCCTTGTTCTGTCTGTAACAGGGACAAAAGTGGTTTTTAGTTAAAGAATTTTTGCAATACTGCTGTAGATATGAATGAAACCTTAAAATAAATTGTATGACTTATGTGTCTCATAAAAAGAAAAGCGTATCCGTAGCATTTTAAAAAGTTATTTTAAAGGATTTCCTTATTCTAATGGATAGAGATTGTCTTTGGATTATATAAATATTCCAAATATTTAATGACGTTATCTGAGACCATGTAGACATTAATTAGAGTTCTGTAATTAGAATTATAGTTATAGAAGCTTCCTCCTGCAAAATAGAGGGCAATATTTCAATATTTCAGGTTTACTGTGCTGTTAGAACACAATACCTGATGCATTTTCATATACCATGGCTTTAATAATTCTTTCTAAGTAACCATTTTGATAGATATTTAATAGTTTTTAAATTAATGTTGGAGTAAAACCCATTTATATTTGTGTTCATTCCAGTCCTTCTTCTCTCCGGGAAAAGAGTCTGTCTGCCTCCTGCACACAGAGCCACCCAAACCAATGATGACACAGAATCCAATCAGAAAAGCAGCATAAAGATGAAAGGTCTTACCAATGAGAAGTGAACTTGCTAAAGTACACCTTTCAATGAATTTGGACAAAACTGAAAAATGTTGTTGATACCAGATCCTTAGGCTGATTACTGAAGTGTTCGATTTTTCAGTATGTCAATTCATCACTGTCTACCTGGTTATATTTAACACTTTCTCCTGTTTCCAGCGTGTCTGCTGAGATAGGCAATCGCTGTCGCATGATATCTACCTCTCAGGAAGGTCAGTAGACCATTTGGGGGGCCGTGGTTTCTGTCCCCCAGCTGCCTCAATTCTTTCTCAGGTAGTGCTGACAGCAGATGGAGCCTCAATGTCTTGCAGGATCTAAAATATTAATAAGATTAGGGCTTTTATCCTTCAAACAGCTTAGCCTTTCCTTTTAGAGGCTCTGCAAAAATGTCTAATCTGCTAATTTATAACACTGTCTCTCCAGGAAGACCTGCCACCATTCAGACATACCAAAACACCACTTTGTACCAGGGTCCTTCCTTTTCGTTTTGTGCAAGTGCTGGTTCACGTTTTAAATCACTCTCATTTTTCAGAGACACTTGGATGAGTTTAATTCCACTTTGAGATGAGAGGTCTTGAGGTGCGTTTTAATAAATAGTTGATGGGAATACTAGCCTTGGGGGTCATCCTTATATACAAAATTAGGGATGGCGTCTCTGAGGCAGGCTTAACTTTCTGGAAGAAGCAGGGTTTATAAATGCAGTGGTACTCTTTTTTTTTTTTTTTTTTTTTTAAAGATTTTATTTATTCACTTGACAGAGAGAGAGACAGCGAGAGCAGGAACACAAGCAGGGGGAGTGGGAGAGGGAGAAGCAGGCTTCCCGCCGAGCAGGGAGCCCAATGTGGGGCTCGATCCCAGGACCCTGGGATCATGACCTGAGCTGGAGGCAGACGCTTAACGACTGAGCCACCCAGGCGCCCCAATGCAGTGGTACTCTTGTGCACCGGGTTCGCTCTACTTTGCAGAACGTGGTGATCTGTGGTTTTATTTTTAGAAGCACTGATTAAATTGCAGAGCACTGCTGTGTGGTACCAATTAAAATAACCATTGTCTATTCAACAGTTTTTTTTGTGTGTGTGTGGAAAGCAAAATTCACTTTTCTGCATATATCCTACAAAAAATACATATATCATATGGTGTGCAATTTAGATCTTTTTAAAAGACAGTAATGGTATTAGTTTAGCTAGCCCATTCTAGCTGGGCAATGAGCATTGATTTTGTTAATTAAGAATTTTAGGCTCTGTAAATTTATAGTACAATTACAATTTACTTCATATGGAAGAGTCTTTACCCCATGCCACCATTAGCAAAATGTCCACTTTTATTATTTGCTGACCATTTCAAAGGCAGATGAATTTTAGAGGAAGAGTCACTGTTTCTTCTTTTATATTGAAATATCTCATTAAATGTTAATTGTTGGTCAGCAGAATGCAACCATGAAGACTTTTGACTTAAATCAATCTTTTTCTCTTTCTTTCTTTCTTTCTTTCTTTCTTTCTTTCTTTCTTTCTTTCTTTCTTTTCTTTCTTTCTTCCTTTCTCTCTCTCTTTCTTTCTTTCTTTTTCTTCCTTCCTTTCTTCCTTCCTTTCTTTCTTTCTTTCTTTCTCTTTCTTTCTTTCTTTCTTTCTTTCTTTCTTTCTTTCTTTCTTTCTTTCTTTTCCTTCCTTCCTTCCTTCCTTTCCTTTCCTTTCCTTTCCTTTCCTTTCCTTTCCTTTCCTTTTTTTTTCTTTTCTTTCTTTCTAAGAAAAAGCCAATTCATCAGGTAGGGAAGGACTGCCTTTTGCAGTCTCAGGTCCTGCCAGAGACAAATGACTGTAAAAATTTAAAATCAATCATTAAGAGATTAGCTGTTGGTCCAAAGTAAATAGCAATCAGCTTATTAGGCATCAGGCAGAGTGCGATAAAGGGGAAGAAGTATTGAAAATGAGGATGTTGTCTGGGGCTCTGTTTGTGGGCAGCACAGAAGGAAGCTGCTTCTTTGTGACTTTAATTACAAATGGAAAACAAGGTAGTTGGCTGAATAAGTTGAGTCCCTGGTTGTGTTAAACAGAGTCCTGTGGTTTTCTGTTCTGTGTCACGGCTTTATTCACCTTGATTAGCGTGGAAGTTGGCTGTGCTCCCTGGTTGTTCTCCTCTTTGCCTTCTAAGCAAGATCTGTCAATTGCTGTTCAGTCGACTCTGCAAGCAGCCCAGAAATTGTGGCTAAGACTTCTCAGTTTCAGGAACTGGACCTTTCCTACCCCTTTGCACATTTAGTTCAAATCTCATTATTGGTTGGGTTGAAGTTGGAAAGTGAAGGGACGGTTCATTAGCTGCTTCCCTTTTAGCTTGAGGTGGATGAGCTACCATTTGGCAAATGCCACAGTAATAATGTTGCAAGCAAGATCCACCAATGGACACTAAAATCAGAGATGAAGGTTTGAAGAGAAGCAGGTTATTTGCATAGTCTTGAAGTACCATTCTCAAGATTTTAGTAATTACAAAGGAAAAACAGTAACTTTATAGTGGTGAAACCCAGCAGATACTCCCTTTACCAAGTGATCAAGTAATCAATTTCCTCCACTCCCCTGTCCCCATGATACACTGAGAGGGAGCCAACATTGTTTTGTGGTATTCTTACTAAAAATGCATAACCTCACTCCAATTATGAGAAAGCATCAGACAAATCCATTCTGAAAAATAACTTGACTGGCAGCCTTCAGAAGTGTCAAGGACATGAAATGTCAAGAAAGACTAATGAATTGTCATGGATTTGAAGGGACTAAGGAGACAAAACGTGGTGGGATTCTGGATTGGATCTTAGAACAGAAAAAGGACATTAGTAGAAAAACTGATGAAATCCAAATAAATGTTAGCACTGGGTGAAGGGAATATGGGAACTGTCTGTAGTATTTTTGCAACTTTTCTGTAAGTCTAAAGTTATTTCAAAAAAAAAAAAAAAGATGCACTGAATGAAAAAAGAATGTATGAGGTCTGGGGGTGCCTGGGTGGCTCAGTCGGTTAAGCGTCTGACTCTTGATTTCGACTCAGGTCATGATCTCAGGGTTGTGAGATCAAGCCCAGTGTCGGGCTCTGCGCTCAGCACCAAGTCTGCTTGAGATTCTTTCTCTCCCTCTCCCTCTGCCCCTCCCCCCGCAATCTCTCTCAATAAATAAATAAATTCTAAAAAAAAAAAAAAAAAGAATGGTGTGAGTTCCAAAAGCTCCCACTGTAAAACCCAGCCTGGGCAGGTTTTAGGCTTTGTTCGCATTTGTGCCTTATTTTAGCCATAGCTGGAGTAAATCACTGCTTTCAATGGGAAACAATAAAACAAAACTCTTTGTGTGGGCCCTTCTTCACAATTCCTTATTGTGAATAACACAGTAAGGTTATTGTTTATTGAAAGGTGCACTCACTAAGGTAGGCAAGGACAGTCCCAGTTTATGGAATGTTGTATTCTGAAATTTGTATGATTTGGATTTCTAGTTTGTGTGAATTACATTACACTGTTTATTCTCAAGGATCGCAGGCTGGCTGGGGTTGGCTCTGCTTCGTCCTGTGGGTCTGGGTCTGCTTTGACTTGGACCAAGGGGTTAATTGGAACATAGTCTTCTCAGAGTGGTGGCAGACCATAAGAGTGCAAGGCCCACCACACAAGCACATTTTAAGTCTCAGCTTGTGTCCCAATCTAACACTTCTCGGTCATAGCTATTCACTTGGCCATGCCCAAAGTCAAGGAGTGGGGAGCTACACTCTTTGAATGGAGGTTGGGGGGATAAAGTACATATTTTTGGTCATATATCTATTCAACCATAATATTTCTGGCCTTTGCTACCTCCCCACATGGCTACTTCTGGCCTGCTCCACAGAGCCTTTTCCCTTTGCTTAAGTGCAGATATAGAAAGACTGACCTGGGGCACCTGGGTGGCTCAGTTGGTTGGGCGACTGCCTTCAGCTCAGGTCATGATCCTGGAGTCCCGGGATCGAGTCCCGCATTGGGCTCCCTGCTCGGCGGGGAGTCTGCTTCTCCCTCTGACCCTCCCCCCCTCATGCTCTCTCTCTCTATTCATTCTCTCTCTCAAATAAATAAATAAAATCTTTAAAAAAAAAAAAAAAGACTGACCTGCCCCCACTGATATGATCAGTTCCCATGGGTGCTGTGACTGCTTGGTGGTTTCTTGGAAGTGAAAATGCTTCTTCCATTACGTTACAGTAAGAGTGGGGTCCCAGAGCATTGTTGTTTGAGCACTGTGGAGTTAAAGGAACGTCTTGAGGTCCCCCTCTCAGTTCCTACAGAGGTACATAGACATGATCAGTTCTGCTGGTGCAGGTGGCTCCAGGTACCAGGCCCCATTGGTTATCCAGGATCATCACCCATATGTGGTTCTCTGGCCCTCTTCACAGACTGGCTTGTCCTGCCAGACCCCAGCCCACACAGTAAGTTCTTTCCTGCCATCTCTCTACCCTCCTCCTCAACCTGGCTTCTGATGCCCTCCCCTCTCAAGACAGGCACAAGATTGTCTGACCAACAGTTAATAAAAACAGTTCAAGTTTATTGATTTGTTTGGGTTTCCCCAGGAGGTTCCTTGCCTCCCCTAGATCAGTGGGTACAAATAGTTATTTGTCAGACTTAGTCCTCTGTCCTAGAATTCTAGTGTCTCGAACCAGAGAGGCCATCTTATTTGTCTTCTACCCATTGTGGTGAGTTACATATGACCCCACGTAATTTAAATTATCAAAAGGCATTTGTTCAAAGGAGCTAAACTTCTGAATCTTTCATAACCTCACCCAACCTTATTTCCTTTGATTTTCCAGCATTTTCCATCCACTCAATCTGGCCACTTTCCTCCTTGCTCCAAGGTCACAGTGCTGCTTGTAACTACTGTCTAGACTTCTCAGTGCCTGGGGTACCCTCCCTCTCCTACCCTCCAAGCAGATCCTGCCTGTCCCTCAGGGCTCACACAGAACTCACCTAGTGCATCAAACTTTCCTATGCTGCTCCATCTTAGGCGAATTCTCCATTGTTCTATGCTCTGAAGCACATGTAATTTCAATTACAACTTGACCTTTAGTAATTCTTTAATTTTGTTTTCGTAATTGCATACAAAATATAACAACATATATTACCTTAAGTAACTAATTAGATTATAGTGTCTTTGTGGTCTGAGTGCCCCCCCCCCCCAATACTGCTTCTGTATCCTCCCTGGCCAGGAAGATGACTTTAGCACACAGTAGGATGCTACTGTGTTCAGTAAGAAGTTCACCACCAGTTTCAAAATTTAAATCACAGAATAAATCCTTTGCTTTCTCCTAAATTAACAGACAAAAGCTAAGAAAGAAAGCGAATCAAAAAAGATCAGAAAAGATAACTTCAGTGTGGATATAAACTATTTTAAAAGAAATGGTAACTTTCATTTAAAAGGAAAATTGTTCCTTTGACGAGAAAAAGGACATTATTCATGAAGGAAAAGTTATTCTGGATTTATTTTTGTCAGAGGATGAATCAGTACTAACTATTCCGAATGCTTACCTAAATGAAATAATAGGTTCTGTTTCCCCAGTATTTTGTAACTGAGTGAGGGCAGACATCACTCATTACCTCCACTCTATAGGAAGATAAGGAACGGAGGGTCACAGCACGTACATGCTTTGCCCAGCATCCCAGCTGCTACAGGATAGCACCAGGCCTGAGTTGTTTCTGGCTTCAGGGCCGGGGTTCTGCCCACTACCCTTGCAGCTCCTGGAGATTGAGTCCTTTGTCTCATTCTCCTGAGGTCACTGTGTACCTTTTGTAAAAGATCTATCATGCTGAAGATGAACTGAGCTATCAGGTAAACATTTGAGGAAAGGAGAGGAGCTAAGTTGGAATGTGAGTGGATTCTGGTGTTGGTGGCCCTGGCATTATAACTGACAACAGAGTGACTTCCCATCACACGGAGCACTAATCATGGGGTGAATGTCATGGACAGAGGCTCCTAAGCAATTACAAGTACAGATGAAGTGACCATCCTTCATTAATGAAGGCAGGTGCTGGAGTCTGCATGTCACTGGTAGCTGGGGTGGTGGTAAGGTGGTCAGTTTTTGGCCCAGTCTAACATTCAGGTCCTCTGTCACATCCTCCATCTACCTTTCTGGTGCTTTCTTCCCCCAGTTCCTTTTACCTAGCTAACCACCCAGCTCAACTGAGATACCCAGGGTTCTCCGAACACAGTCCCCCCCCTTTCCCCTGTCTCCCTGAATTTGCACACCTCCAGTCACTTTCCGCTCTAAGACCCAGCTCAAAGGCCACTTCTTCCAGGAAGCTGCCCTGTTTCCTCAGCAGGAAGTGGGCTCCCCTGCTTCTAAAACCCCAAGCCCTCTCTCTCCCAACACTTTTCTGATGGCCATTGTCATGCACTTTCTTTATGTTTGTGTTTGTTTCTATCTACTTTGTGAGTGCAAAATCTTAAAAGAATTGACCCTTGTGCCGGGCACATGGCAATCCTCAATGTAAACACTGTTTGGGAAATTGACCAAATGAGCAAAGGTCTGAATGTCTTATCTAGCCCGCTAAGTATTTTAATGCAAAATTGTCATATTATCATCAGAATCACTATTCTCTTTTTAGAATAGAAAAAAATCATTTCACCCAAGACGTGTGCTCTTCCCTCTCTCCAAAAACTGTCTTATTAAGAACATCATATGGGAGAGGGAAATTAACCAAACTGAGGGATAACTTTACTAAGCACCTGAAAACGCCCTGCTATTATATCTTAAGGCTCATTTGGGTAGAAAGAGGATTTTTAAAACACTGGGTGTTGTACTTGTTTCTCATGGATATTTACACTTACTTATTTAAACAGTTGCACCAAATATAGGAGTGACTTAGGGTCAGAGATCCTGTTCCTTCCCTTTTGAAAGATGCCCCCATCCCCACCATGTAGTGAGTGTATCTATCTTCCACAGTGTGCTGAGGTTAGAACAGCCTTGTCCAATAGAACTTTCTAAGATGATAGAAATGTTCTATGTCTGCACTGTCCAGTATGTGTGGCACCACTAGCCTTGTGTGGCCACCGAGCACTTGAAATGTGCTAGTGTGACTCAGGAACTGAATTTTAAATTTTATTTAAATTATTTAAAATTAATTAGTATAAGTGTAAATAGCCACACGTGGCTAGTGGCTACTATATTGGACAAGTCAGATTTAGGGTCTTGTGGCCTTTGTCACCCTTGGGCCTGAGAAGGGTATCAGAGAGAAGGGATCCATTACTACTCCCAGTGTATTGGGGCAGCCTGGGGAAAACTCAGGCTTCGAAGGTCACTTGCCTCCACTCCAGAAGGCTTTCCCCACCAGCTTCAGAGCAGTGCATGAGATCAAGCAAGAAGAGCCAGGATTCTGTCTACATGTTTATGCGTTCAGTTACCTTTGTCCAGCTTTTTATTTAAAGGCCACATGCCACATAGCAATAATCAGTTGGGATTATAACAGTCCTGTCTATGATGTTTTCAAAATTATTGTTTATAGCTTCTTTAATTCTCCATGAAGATGATGAATCTGCAGAGAATAAGTATTATTAAGTAGAGATTTCCCTGTAAATTACTGGTGTCCAAATAAGATGCCTTCCACCACACTGTCCTTATCTTGTACTGCTCACAGCACAGTTGTGTTAGGGGAGACTTTTTTTTGTGATGAGTTGCTATCACTTTGTTCTGTGGGGTCGAGAATGTTATTTTCACATTGTAACTGATGCCATCTCTGCCTGAACTTTTTTGATGTTCCGAAGCAAAACAACCACTTTCTCTTCACCTAAAAATTCTTATCAGTGAGGCCCACACAGGTGAGCAAGGTGTTTACATGAAGAAATAAACTCACAAAGTAAAAATTCTATGAAGAGGTGAGGCTGGGAAAAAAGGCATACTTTTTTTTTTCTTTTTTTTTGAGGGGGGCTGCCGTGGAGCCTCTCACAGAAGCTTTAGTCTCATGCAGAAAGATGGAAATTAGAATGAAAAATAAGAATTTGGTTTAGAGTAGCTGGTTTAAATGTGTGCTGTGTCCAGACCCCTTAGCAGAAAGTCAGCCATTTCATGGAAGCACAGAGATGTCATTTCATGGCCCTTCTGCTCAGGAATAACAACCAACAGCCCTCCTGCCCTCACCTTCAGACTCTCACCCTCCCTCACATCCTGGCCTCCACTTGCCACCAGCAGGGACACCATGAACGGCCCCTGCAACATCCAGGGGGATCTCATTGCAGCAATCCTTCGTTTTTGGGTGGTAATTACCAGCACATGATTATTTTATTTTGTCTGAATTATTTACCATGGAAGAAAGCAGTTTGAAGGGGAGGGGATTTTGAGTGTGTTCAGCTCCACTCGCTCACATTGATTCTACCCAGAGTGAGAAGAGCAAACCTATTAAGAAGAAAAATCACTTCCTTTTCTTCTTCTCTTTCCTCTCCCACCCCCAGGTCTTAGAAATAAATAAATAATGCAAAGAGAAGCCCTGGTGGCTGTAGGGAGGAGCCGGCGGCTGGGGACCGGTCCCCATTACTGCAGGTGAGCACCGGCCGGAGCTGTCCTTGGTTCTGTTCTCTCTCCCTCTCCCATCTGGCCTGGTATGCATAATGAGCACCATGTATGGATTGAAGTCCCATTTAGAGGATGTTTGTTGCGGAACCTGTAATCAAGAAAGTTGGGCTTTAACCCCAGAGGTGCCATTCCCTTGTTCTTACATTTAAGAGTTAGAGCTTCTGACTTCCAGAAGAACTTGTGGATGATATATAGAGGCAAACAGTGCATGAAGGCCCCTTTGGGGACAAAACAGAATGGAAGCTACGGGAAGGAAGAGAGTGAAGGTAACAGTTGGCCAGTAGACCGCGGTGGTTTTGTGCTTCCATTCCTTTCTTGCAAAATAGGGAAAGCAAACCCATCTCCTGCCTTAAGAAGCACTGGGTACAGTAATCTCTGTGAGAAGAGGTGTTCTATCATTTTGGCAGGATACTGCATTCTTCTATTAAGAAAACAAACAAATATATAAATAGAGGCAGAGTGCCCCTCTGACCTAACCTTACTGCATATCCTTAACTAGAAATATCTGCAGAACAGTGCCCTGGTGCACCCAAGAGGGGGAACTGGGGCCTTCTCAGTATGTGCTGCCATGAATGTGTGTGGGTGAGCCACCCGAGAGAAATGGGATGGGACCCTAAGCAAGGTAGTGGCTATATTTATTTTTTCTTCATTGAAGAACTTTTGCATAAAATGTTAAAATGCTTACAAATTCATAATATATATGCATTAGAAGGCTTTGTGATAAAATGAATGTCTATGCATCTACCCACCCAAATTAAGAAATACAGTACATTATTACCACCACTGAGACTCCAATAATGCCCTTCTTAGTCTCAGAGGTAACCCTATCCTGATTTTATGTATGTTATGCTCCTGATATGCATCTAACTATTTGTATGTTGATGATGTGATTTTTTTCTATTATGGCTTCATTTAAAGTCCTGATTATTTAAACTCCTCTCCTGCTCCTGCTTTTTAAAAACAAGTTTTCCATGTTTGAGCCATATGTAAATGGAATCATACTGTTATCTTCTTCTATGAATTACTTTTCTTCACTCAATATATTTGTGAGATTTGTCTAAGTTGATACACGTAACATACTTTATTCATACTCATTACTGTTTGTTATTCCATTGTGTGAATACTCTAAGACTTATTTATCCATCCTTTTCTTGATGACCATCTGGGTGTCTCCATTTTTTTGTTATTACAAACCATATTTCCATGAATATTCTAATCCAATCTAGTCTCTTGGTCTAAAAATTTCTCCGTTGTATATGCCTGAGAGTAGCATTGTTAGCTCATAGGGAATGAGCATCTTCAACTTTATTAGATCATGCCAAGATCTGAATGGTTGTCCAAGTTGCACTCCCAATAGCACTGTTTAAGAAGGAACTCAAGAATGTGAATCAACTATGGGCTGATTCTACTATTGTCCAATATCTGAGTTAAGAGGAAAGAGAGCCAGTTTGGCTAAGAAGAATCCCCAGATAATGATGATAATGACATGACACTGCCCAGGTACTGTTCTCAACACCTCACACATGTGGACTCATTTCATTTTTATAATTATTCTAAGAGGTATGTACTATTATCCTCACCTGCAGGTAAAAACAAAAAACAAAAAACGGACCACAGAAAGGTTAATTAATTTGGCTGGTAAATGTAGGATCTGGAATTTGAACCATTGCTCTGAACCCCATGACTAATTTTAGCCATTAACCGATGAATTCACTCTAGATGAGCCAGTAATAAGGGCAGCTTCATGTCTGGTGAGTGATTGGCTACTCTGCCATTCAGGGTGGAACTTACCTTTCCAGTCATACTCCTTATTACACTGCCTTTTGCAGTTCTCCTCACTGAGAGCTTTGACTGTATTTAGACTTCATTGGAATTTGATTGTTAAGAAGCAAAGAAAAGCATTCTTTCTTGGGTAGCATGGAATTTGGATGACCTCTTTGGCTAGTGTAAGAAAAAAAATGTGAGAAAGAACTCTTGAACCCAACACCCCAAATCCTAACCTAGCATAACCTACCTGAAGTTGATGTTACGGTTATTGACACTTGCCTGGACAAGAAGAGAAATAATTGTTGCTACTGGCCCATCCTCAGGTAGTTTGATGTTAGGTACTGTAGTTTGCATGGCACAATGAAGGGGGAGGATATTGACTATTACAAAGGCTGCCCAGATGGCTAAAATATGACATTATAAGGCTGTCACACGGCATATAGGCATTGCTATTTTTTGTCATGAAAACATCAGCAGAAATGAAGAACCATACATAAATTCATACCTTAAGATCAATAAAGCTGTATTTTTTTTTGGTCCAAATTATTCAGATTAGTCTTTTACATGATATTTCCACTTCCCTTTTCTGTACACAGACATTTGAACAGGGTAGAAAAGTGGTGTTACTGAAATTTAATACCTGGAATCCTTTTTTATGATCCATCTTTAAAAGTAAACATTATTTCATATATGATTAACAGCAATGTTCTCAAGACAATAATTTATATTTTTGTTTGTTCGTTTAAAATAGGGATGTTTGTATGAAAACCCTGTACAAGGGCCAAACCATTAAGCTCCTCCAAAGTCAAAGTAGGCATATTTCATGTTGAAATATGTCATTTTAATGTTGAAAGATAAAAAAGAAAGTCTTTAGAGACTTGGCCTATAGAGTAAATTTCAAAATGGGAAACAACACTGGTCCTGTAATGAGATGTAAATCATTACACTGACATTTATCTTCTCCTGGTGAGTTCAATTCCCTGTAGCAGCATAGAGAGGAAAAGAAAATATTGGAACTGAGAGTAATAAAGTGAATACAGCAGGCTCCGTATGTGTGAATGACACTTCCTTCACAAAATGAGAATAACTGGAAGGCCTAAGACATATTCCCCTTTTCTGAAAATATCCCAGGCCTTTTGACTTTTACTGATGTATTTACTGTCTTGAATCTCACCAGTGGGAGAATCACTGGGCTTTGGGACAGGCCACTTTAAAAAGTCAAGTGTCTTGGGGACTGTTAGGAAACAATGGGCCATTCATTTGTGACTATGAATTGGATCAATCAGATGGTTTTCCTTTTGGCAGCCAGTTGGGAGGGGTCTACAGTGTGGGGTTCAGAGTAAACTGGTGGCTGAAATGATTGGGAGGAGGGACATGAAGGATGAGTGAGGCACAGAGGTGAGGGGTTTAGGGCTGAGCACACGGGGAGAAATGGGAACAATGTTAAGGGGATATAAGGAAGTGAGCTGGGAAGACAAATTTGGCTTACTTAAAAAATGTGACTGAAGGGGCACCTGGATGGCTCAGTTAGTTAAGCATTTATTTCAGCTCAGATCATGATCTCAGGGTCCTGGATTGAGCCCCACTTCGGGCTCTGCCCTCAATGGGGAGTCTCCTTGAGATTCTCTCTCTGCCTCTCTCTCTGCCCTCCCCCCATGCTCTCTCTCTCTCTCAAAATAAATACATAAAATCTTAAAAAAAGAAAAAAGGGTGACTGCATCATAGAACTACTTGATTCCAGGCCACTGATGTTATTCCTCTTAGCATTAAATCAGTTCTGGTGAGCTAATATAACAAACTATAATTTACAATTTTGTTTTTAAGGAAGAATACATCCAGAAGCTAACAGATTGAATGATTGGCTCTAATTCTTCACTCCCTTGCTTTAGGCTTATGTAGGAGGAGTGCATTTTACTATCCCTTGACTTTGGGGTCATCTGTGGAACTTGATTTTGGCCAACCGTATGTGGGCAAAGTGTGCTAGTTTTGACTCTAGGGCCTTAGGGGCTTGGTCTTTTCCTGCTTGCCCTCTTGTGCCTTATGCACTTCTGCTCTCTCTATGAGACGAGCTTTCCATGGATAGCTGCTACCCATTTAGCTGAGTTGCAAATTGAAGCAAAGCCATGGAACTGAGCACTAGCTTAAATTAGGTGATCTCTAGCTGACCTGCAGATATGTGAGAATAAATGCTAGTTGTTTTAAGTTACTGAGTTTTGGAATGGTTTGTTACACAGCATCTTTGTGGCAATAGCTAACTGATACACAGAATTCTAAAGAACCCTCTTACAAGTGAATTCTTGGAATATAACCCATTAGTAAATTGGAATTTTCCTGTGCTGCAACAAGATCATTATTCTCTTCCTAATGAGAATTTTTAAAATCCAGTTACAGGTCACTGATGGGACAAGGACACAGTTTGTTACCTGATAAGACAAAGATTAACAGAGACTGTGCCTTGTACTTGTAGCTAAGCACTACTAGCTATTGCATATAGGAGTGGTTTTCAGACAACTCTACATAAAGTACTAGGGCCTCCAAGGAGTTCTCATAAAGGCTGTCTTGGAGTGGGATTTCCCTCTCTCTCTTCTTCACCTAGCTTCATCCACATCAGAGCTACTTTTATTTGTTTTGCATATTGGGCTTCTTTGTAAGATTTTGTCCAATTAAAAGTCTGAGATAAGTTTGAACATCTCCAGTGAACTCCTTGCTTTCTTGGAGTTCATGCTCTCCCACACCTGTACCTCCCACACCTGTACATCTCTTCCTTCAGCCCAAATTGCTCTCTCTCAGCTTCTCTGTAGAAAGCTCCTATTCATTCTTCAATACTCATGATATCACATGAGTGGTATGTCTTTGATACTTCTTCCTTCAAAAGATGGGGCCTTAATTGCCATGCCCTAAGTGTGGGCTAACCTGAGTAACTTTTAAACAAGTGGGATATGCAGGAAGTGACGGTGTGTGATGTCTAAGATTTGGACCTCTCTCTCTGACTCCCTCTATCTGTCTCTGTCTCAGTATTTCAGTTCACTCATTCTTGGGAAATCTAGCTGCCTTTTTATGGGAACACTCAAACAGCCTGACAGAGAGGCCCAGTAAGATGAACTGAGGCCTCCTGCCAACAGCCATGTGAGTGATCTTGATTGCAACCTAATGAGAAACTTTGAGCTAGCTCTCAAATTCTTGACCCACAGAAATCGCGA